AATTTCTGTGGTCAACTTGATCAGATTGAGAAACACCTAGGACATCCTAGAGGGCATGGTGTCTCATATCAGTAACCCTAGCACTTGGGAAGTGGGGGCAGGGTGTCAGGAGTTAAACTATCCTCAGCTAGACAGCCAATCTGACACTGGCTTGGAAAACAATAGCTGTCTCAATACAACACAAAACAGACAACAAAAGACAACCTAGCTTTCAATTTGTCTGTGAGGGCCTTTCCAAAGGTGATTAACTGAGTATATAAACCCTGACTTGGCTGCGAGTCACACTATCCCAGACGGAACCAAAAGCATCAGCGTTCTTCTCGCTGTGCAGATGCAAGTGACGGACTACTCACACCCTCATCCTGCCATCACAGGCGATGTGCTCAGGCTGTAAACGGAACTTGATTGGCCCTTTCCTCGGGTTGGCCACAGCAACGAGAAAAGTAATGAAATCTCAAAGTCAAGCTTCCCAAACTAAGACGCCATGGCCATCTGTTCTTTCCGGTTTCTTTTTAAAGTGTTTTTACACTTACGTGTGTGTACACACACATACACTCACACCACAGCATGGGTTTGGAAGTCAAACTTGTGGGAGTCAGTTCTCTCCTTTCACAGTGTGGGAGCTGGGGATTGAACTCAGGTCATCAGGCTTGGTGGCAAGCCCCCTTTCCCACAGAGGCACCCCACCTCTTGCTATCTCCTTATTTCATGCTCCACCTCACTCTGGCCAGCCTTTCTCAGTGAGGCTGAAATCACTTTTATTAAAGCCATGGATACAACGTCACTGTTCAGTAAAGGCTGTGAAATGTTGGGCACTTTCCTTGCTCAACTGCTGGGCAAGCCTTTCCTTAACTGGTGCCATTTCTTTTGCAATTGCCTCTTGGCCTCCAAGACATAAAACGTTTGACATTTCCTTTGTGACTTGGGATGCTCCTCTGCCAACTTCTCTACCTGTTCTTACTCTGCACTTGCCACTCAGCCTCTTCCAATTGTGCACCCTCCCCACAAGGTGCTTTTCGTTTTTTGTTGTTGGTGGTGGTTTTTTTTTTTTTTTTGCTCTTTTGTGTGTGGTTTTTTTTTTTTTTTTAGACAGGGTTTCTCTGTAGCTTTGGAGCCTGTCCTGGAACTAGACCAGGCTGATCTCGAACTCATAGAGATCCTGCCTCTGCCTCCCGAGTGCTGGGATTAGAGGGGTGCGCCACCTCTGCCCGTCCTCCCAGATGTTCTTAACCCCCCTCTCGTGGCTCAGTTATCAATGACTTTCAAATCTTTTTCTATCCCTGACCTCCTCCTCTGAGATTCATTCGGGAATCATGTTGCCACTCTCTCCAGAGCCCTTTCTGTGGCTACCTTACAGTTTATCCAAATTTCAACTCTTTGCCTGTTTTCTTTATCCAGGCTCACCTCTAACATTCACAGGGCTGTGGGCAGGAGCACAAATGGAAGCCCACACACTTTGTGTCAGAGAAGCTGAAAACTATTATTCAAGCCAACTCTGAGATAATGCTGTTCTTTCTCACTCTGACAAACCTTTGTAATGACCCAGAATAGTAAATTTAAATTCAGGATTATTGTACTTGCTGGAGTGCTGGCCTGGGATGTGGTCCCTGTGGTAGAACTGATTGATGACCCCTTGGTCCGAGCCCCATCCATCCAACACCCATTCTTTCACCATCTGGCCTTGGCTCTGCACCGCAGTGGGCCTGGGATACATGATTTTGTACCTACAGCCCATGTGTTCAAGATATGTTCCTCTCTCCCCAGCTATCTTTCCTTCTGTGTTCTCCTGAATTTGGTTGTACCAGAGCCCTGGACCAGGGCTTAAAGGAACAAGGTGGCCCTAGGAAGAGAAATTGAAGCTTGTGTTCATGAGCACAAATAAAGAGCCTGACCTCATGGAGGAGGCCATTCACAGAGTTAGACTGTAGAGTCCAGAGCCTGACCTCATGGAGGCAGCCATTCACAGAGTTAAACTGTAGAGTCCAGAGCCTGACCTCATGGAGGCAGCCATTCACAGAGTTAAACTGTAGAGTTCAGAGCCTGACCTCATGGAGGAGGCCATTCACAGTATTAGATTGTAGAATCCAGGTGCAGTGGCCCAATCCTGTTATCCCAGTACTGGGAGGCAGAGGCAGGGGGATCAGGAACTCAAAGTTAGCCTGGTCTACATGAAACTCTCTACCCAAAGCCAAGAATTAAAAAAGGAAAAGAAATAGGTTGTTGTCACAAGTAAGGAGAGATGGCAGTGGGCAGAGTCACTGAGGTCACTAAAGGGTCCTTGACTGGGTCTGATGATGGCGAACTGCCGCTGAGTCCCTTCAGTCAGACATACTCTGGGTGCTCCATTATCAACACCTTATTTTATTTATCTTCACTCTTTTCAAGACAGGGTTTCTCCTGTGTAACAGTCCTGGCTGTCCTGGAACTCACTCTGTACCAGGCTGGCCTTGAACTCAGAGATCCTCCCGCCTCTGCCTCCTGAGTGCTGAGGTAAAGGAGTGAGCTACCACTGCTGGCTACTTATCACCTCTTACATCTGACAGTTAGGATTTCCCTCTCTTACTAAACTTGATGGATTCCTGTCCACTTGCAGTTCCTGCTGTGGTTTCCCATCTGGGTGCCTGAAAGCTTCTTGGTAACCCTCTCCCCGCCTCGCTCGTGCTTCCCCCTGCAGTTGTTCTGGGCACAGCTATGGCTACTTCCTGTTTCTGCTCATTGCTTTAGGGAACAAGTCCTTAGCATGTCATTTACTATCCCCAGTCGGTTTTGATCTGACCCTTACTGAACTCCCTAGCTGACTGTTCACTTCTCCCTGGCCCCGAACAAGAGCATCCACAAACAGTGCCACACACACACGAACAACATACACAATCAGGGATGTAGCATAAACGCAAGCTCCCACACCACACACGTTCATGCATAACACAGAAACTCGCATATTCTAACAGTCATATGGAAATAACTACTCACACACGACATACCCTCAAAGCATACGTGCTCCATATGTTCTCACATGCCTATGTGTGTACCTGGTGTGCTTCAGTTGCACACGCCAACACCATGTACTCCACACCCACTCATCACTTCACAGACTTACGTGCCACACATTCTCTTACACACATCGCGTTTGGCCTCTTCTCACTCCGGTAACACTAGGAGCAGGTCTTTGTCCACACTACACTTTCCCCTGGAACGTTGCTTTCTGCCTTCATCACCAGCTGTTTGAACTCCTCCATAAAGAGCTATCTGTGAACTCTGGGAATCGAACTCAGGTCCTCTGCAAGAGCGCAATGCTCTTAACTATTGAGACATTTCTCCAGCCCCAAGTGTTGTGGGATGTTTAGTCACACTGTGAACCCATTAAGAGAGTTACAGGATGTCTGTAAGATGGACAGGTAGTAGTGGGGAGGGGCTTAGTATATATAGCATAGGTACTTTTGTTTTGGCAGAGTGGAAGGACGTTTTTTTTTCAGAGATGACAGCAAAGGGAGAAAGTCAGCTAATTGCTACTCAACTTCTCTGAGCTAGCAAGTTTTCACCCCAGCCTTGTTCTCCCGAGTCTCATTGATAAACAGAAGGATAGAGATTTAATTAAAAGCTATATTAGATGGCAGCAATAAAGCCAATGCCTGTGGGAATGGAATTCCCACCAGGCCACAGTCTGAGTGATTGGGCTGCAGCCAGAGAAGGAGGCCAGTAACCATGGAGACACATTTGCTGACTAATATAACAGTAGATTAAAGTGCAGCCTCTGTGCTGCTGGAAAAACAACACCCATGGATTTAAGATTTAAACCTAAAAGCCAGGTATGGTTGTATGCACTGTGATACCAGCACTCTAGAGGCTGAAGTAGGGAGATAACCACTTTGAGGCCAACCTGGGCTACATATTGAGTTCAAGACCAGCCTAGACTATATAGCAGAATTCTGTCCCCAAAATCACAAGGGCCAGGGAGTTGGCTCCATAGATAAAAGCACTTAATACAAGCATGAAGACCCAATTTGGATCACCAGAACCTGTGTAAAAGCTGGACATGGTGGACATTTGTCCACTGTACAGATTCCCATGATGAGATCAGAAGCAGAAACTGGAGAATCCCCCATGGGCTCATGGGCTGGGTGGCCTAGAGTATACACTACAGTGGCAGAAATAAGAGGAGCCCTGACTCAAAGAAGATGAAAGATGAGAACCAAAGTCTGCAGTTGTCTCTGACCTCCACACATGTGCCATGGCACGTGCATGCATGTCCTCACATACAAACCCACACACAAAGACATGTTTAAAAGATGACTTTAGAAAGCAATAAAACCCAAGGCTTGCAGTAGGAAGCCTGAATCCAGCTTCTTAGACCGTGGAACTTCTTAAAAACTTTGTACCTCCTCTATGCATACTTTTGTCATTTTGCCTGTTATCTCAGTCATGAGTGACAGGACATTTAAAACTGGAGGTGCGTGTGTGCTTGTGACGGCTACCAGGGAAATAAAGAGTGTCTATTACAGCCAGGCTCGAAGGTAAGAAGCCCAGGGGGGGTAAGGAGCTGGGGAGGAAGACCTAAGGGAATTGAGTACAGTCCAAAGGACTTCAGCCATTTAGTATGAAGGTCTGAGTTCTATACCAGAACTTTCTTTCTGAGACAGTGTCATGTGTAATCCGGGCTGGCCTCGACATCACTGTGTAGCTGAGAATGACTTTCAACTTCTGGTTTTCCGGTTACTGGCCTGTGTCGTCATACCTAGTTCCGGGCAGGGAGCAAACCCAGGGCTCCAGGCAAGCTCAGTAGGCATTCCACCACCTGCGCTACATCCCCACCCCCTGGTGAGACTATTTCCAGGGATTAATTAGGCCTTCAGGATCCTCTGAAGCTAGCTTCCCTTGTAGTTGGGTGCTGTAGGTGGATTGGCTGAGGGTGGAGGGGCAGGGCTTGAAGCCTGAGCCTGGGAGTCGCAGCGATTAACGTGAGTCAGGATGTAGATAACTAACTTGGCTTGGGAACTCAGGAAGAGAGACTCAGCAAAGGGTTATTATTCCCAAATGCCGTGCAGAGGTGGAGAAGGCACTTGGGTGGCACTTAGGATGTTACTCATAACCTTTCCAGAACAGCCTTGTTGGTGTCCACTGCCAGGCTGTAGAGGTCCAAACAGGCGGAGCAAAGCTCCACTCCCCACGACGAGAGGGGCTTCATGCCTGACCATGACCAGAGGAAGCAGGGGCGGTAAGATGAAGGCCTGTGGCAGAGAGCAGGTCATCGCGGGGCGTGTGTGGTGTGTGTATGTGTGGGGGTAACTGTAAGCACACACAGAAAATCATGGGCAGAAAATCACAAAGCGGAGGAAAGACTGTGTAGGGAGGAAGATGGATAATAACTACCAGTGTTTCCTTGGCAACCTGTATCAGCCATGGCGTCTGTAGGGCATCCTGGGAGCTCGTTACCCCTATAAGTTCTCCTCCTAGTATCCTCAATGCTGACCACTCCTTGCTCACAACTTTCCATTCTTTCAGCCCTTCCTTCCTGTTAATATTCTCGGCTCGGTGACCTCTGTCATCTCTTGGTGTCTGAACGCCACCTCCCTCTAGCCCCCATCCCTATACCTGGGCTTAGCATGGGTCACTGGTTTGACTGCATTTCCCTGAATACTCGTTACTTCTTGGCTTGCTCCTCTCTCACCCTGCTCTGGATATGCCCCACAGCTTCCATCACACGCTAAGAAATCCCAAATCTCAACTCTCAGGCCTGGTTTCTCTCCTCGGCTTCTGGATATGAGTCTCCTTCTGGCTATCTCTGACTGGAGAGAAATACAGAAACAGATTGTGGGCTGATGGTGAGGGTTGGGGAAAGTTGAAGGCAAGAGAAGACGGGGATGTAGAGGAAGAGGGTCAGTAGCATATCATATTGGACTCCATAGGGAAGAACATTTGGGTCCCAGAGCTGGGCAGTTTTCAGTCTATGATGCTGCTTGGAAGTTAGGTTGAGAGGAAGAATGTGGTGAAGAATTCTGATCAGGTGAGCAGGAAATGGGGCCTTTCTTCCTGGGGTCCTATGCATTCATCCCTCCTCCATCTGTCGAGGCTGAAGTCCTCTGTGCTTCTATCTAAACCCTCCCTCCCCAATTTCCTCAGACCCCGGAACACTAGCTCTTCCTCCCTCAGCACAGCCCTCCCCTCCCCTCCCCACTGTCCTTCTACCCAGGCCTCTTATAGTTACCCTGGTGTTGGGAAGGGCCTGTGGCTGCCTCACCAAGCCCGCTGGTGAACCCGTTGATGCCGAGACCACCTGCCTGAGTCTTGATCGCAGACTTAAGCTCGTGATTCTCCCGAATGAGCCGTACCAGCTTCTTCAGTTCCTCGTTTTCCCGCACCAACCTCTCTATCTGATGCCGAAGCCCCTCATAATTTGTAAGTAGAGACATGCCCCAGGGCAGTAGAGAGGGTGCGGCCCAAAGGAGGGCACTGCACTTGGAGGCTGCCCAGGGCCCCGGGCCTTGCCCGGGTTGGAAAAGGGCGTCAGAGTCTGCAAAGCTAGCCCAGTGGGCACTGGGTATTATGAGGTCAGAGACTGTACCCTCCTCCTTGCCCTCTACTTTAACAGGTTCAGCTCTCTGTGCCTCCAGACCTGAGCCTTGCCTTCCTTCAGCCTGCAATGTCCTGGCAAGGTCTGGCCAATTTTGATCTCAAGTTTGCCTCTTTTACAAGGTTTCTCTGCTTTTTAAGCTAATTGCTGGCCCCGGCTTCCCCAGCAGATGCGCCCTGTGTCATGTCACTTCCCTTGTGCCTGGGAGATGAGTCCTCACTACTTTCCACTGGACACACAGTGTCAGAGCTGTACTTCCCGAGGGTGCTCAGAACACCTCAGGGGGCGCATCTTGGTACAGGCATTTGTTGACTATTGGTTTTTGTTTGTTTGTTTGTTTGGTTTTTCGAGACAGAGTTTCGCTGTAGTTTTGGAGCCTGTCCTGGAACTAACTCTTGTAGACCAGGCTGGCCTCGAACTCACAGAGATCTGCCTGCCTCTACCTCCCCGAGTGCTGGAATTAAAGGTGTGCACCACCACCGCGCAGCCTTGTTGACTATTTGTTGATGAATGCTCATTATTCTGCCTTCCTAGGCAGGGTGCCCTTTCCTTTAGATATAGGGCTTGCTTGGGTTTCGTCTGTCAGCTAGCTCCTGAGGAATCTCTGTCTTGGATGCCGGGACATGGGCCCATAATTTCTTCCAGCCACAAGTGCTCCATTCCTTCCCTGGCTCTTGGCCCAGGGTCTCTTTTATCCAAGCAGAGGCTCCCCACAGCTTAAGGGTTTCCATTCCTGACACGGGTCCCCTCACTCCCATCTGTCATGGTTCTTCTTTTGCACCCAGGTTTCTGTTTCTCGGGTCCTTAAATCTTCCTGAGTTTCACTCTTTCAAGAATCTAAAATAAGACCTGATGGTGGCCCGGCAGTACCCTCTGTTACTCCATGATCACCAGGGTTGACGTGGCTCGTGGTCCAGCAGTACCCTCTGTTATTCCATGATCGCCAGGTTGACGTGGTTGACGTGGCTGACGTGGCTGGCTAGGTGAGTATCTCGTTCCTCTCTCACTGCTCCACGTGTGCTCCTCCAGAAGCTGTCCACTTGGTAGAAGCCAACTTTGTCTCAGGGGAGAACCAGTTTTCTGTCAAAGATATACAAGTAGCCACACTCCTCTGCTAGGACTTCCAAACAAGAACCCAAGACTTCCTCGACGGGTTTCAAGAGACTGAGTCCTCTTGGCACTCCTTTCTCTTTGTGCTTTCTGTAGAGAACTCCATGGACCTAATCTTGGAAGTCAACGGAGGCTGATCCTCAGGACCTCCACTGGCTCTGTGATCATCTTCTCCCAAACCTCTCTATGGGTTAGGTCAGGAAGAGGAGGGTAAAGTCCAGTTCCGGTCCAGGTTCCAGTGGGCAGACTCTGGTAGAGAGCAAAGATGGGGAAGAGGAGATGAGCTAGGGCTGGGATCAGCATGAGCTGAGTATTCCATCTGGACCTCACAATGGGGGGGCCTGCCCCTGCCTCTGACACTCCATGCTGTAATCCTGAGTCACTCTGGCCTCAAGGACAAGAGGGCCTGAGGACCACGGATGAGTTCTCTTCGCTATTCCTTCTAACGTCCCTCCGGCGCGTGACAATAAGCTCATCACGGTCTTGTCTTTGAGTTGATGTCATCTGTGACGGTTACATTTGATGCGTCGGTTTGGGTGTGGTGCCCGTGTCTTCGGTCAGAAGCTGGTAGAGACATCGCTGTCAAGGTGTTTTGTAGGTATGGCTAACATTTACAAACTGTTCGCTTTAAGGAGATCACCTCCAATCCTAGCGGTGGGCCTCATCCACTCAGCTGATGGACTCGCTAGCCAAAAACTGCATCATTAAAAAAAAAAAACCTGGAAGGCAAAGACCATCCCTACTTCTTTCTGTCCCAGTGCCTCTTTCCTCCATCTGGGCAGGCGTTGTATATAGTGCCAGTCATAAGCAGCCACTATGAACTGCTAGAGAAGGCTAGAGGGCCCAGGCCATTATGGACTGATGTGGACTTGGAAGGGCTTTCTTTTTTCTTTCTTTCTTTTTTTTTTTAAGATTTATTTATTTATTATGTATACAACATTCCTTCCATGTATGTTTGTATGCCAGAAGAGGGCACCAGATCTCATTACAGATGGTTGTGAGCCACCATGTGGTTGCTGGGAATTGAACTCAGGACCCCTGGAAGAGCCAATCAGTGCTCTTAACCTCTGAGCCATCTCTCCAGCCCCTTGGAAGGGCTTTCAAACAGGGAGTGTGGAAGGCATTGAAGGGGAAAGAACAGCTGGGTGGGGTGCAGGAAGGAGGTCACGGCAGCCATCCAAACAAGCAATGAGAGTAGCTTGGAGGTAGGGGTAAAGAAAGTGGTCAGGGCTGGGAGACGGTTAGAAGTATCAAAGGGAGTGGGCTTAGGGATAGTGGCAAGGTTGGGGGCAGGGATGGCCTTGGAGTTTCTGGCATGGGTGGTGGAATAGTCACTGGTTATACCAACCCAACAGAGAGGAAGGTCAAGTTTAGAGAGGAAATTCCAGGTTGAGTGTAGATGGGCTACAAGATCCTAAGGATGTGTTAAGTGAGGTGGAGTCTCTGTTTGGAATCTCGGAGTAGAACATGCTGCATGGGCTGGGAAGACAGATTTTAGAGTCATCAGCTTCTGGAGTGGCGAGCGCAGGCGTGTGAGGGGATGAGCTCAGCTAGGAATTGGTAATGAATGGGAGGCCCACTGTGTCTCAAAGAACTAGGGCAAGTCTGCAAAAGACAGAGAGAGGGGTGGAATACTCAAGGAGGCAGGGATGGATGGATAAGCCGCAGCACAAGGGGACATTTCAAGGCCGTGGAGCAGCAATGTTACCTAAGGCTTCTGGGAGGTTAGACGAGACAAGATGGGAAAGTGCATTCGTTCTGACACGGAAGCCTTTACGCGGAAGGCTGCTTGCTTGGGTGGAGCTGTTTGCTTCATTCCAGATTCACGAGTCTGGCAAGGGAGTGGGAAGGGCAAAGAGAAGGGAGTACAGGTAGCTTTCTTCAGGGTTTGCTGCGTGAAGGAGGCTGGGTAGAGCTGTCTTTGCTGCTGTGTCGGGATTGACTGTGGCCCTTGGCTCCTAGCCTCCAGCCTCTCAGCAGAGCTGGAGCTGAGACGCAGAGAGGGAATTGTCCTCAAAGGACACTCAGACTTTCCCAGGGCATGGAGCTACTTCCTCCACTTCGTTTTCTACTTATGCCTACCTGCTTTTTCTATTCTTTTTTGGGGGAGGGGGCTCAAGGCAGGGTTTCTCTGTATAGCTTTGGAGCTGTTCTGAAACTCACTACGTAGACCAAGCTAGCCTCGAACTCACAGAGATCCGCCTGTCTCTGTCTCCCAAGTGCTGGGATTAAAGACGAGTGTCATCACCACCAATTTATTCTTTTTGAAAAAGACTTTAATAATTATGCATGTGTGTGCATGCATGTGTGTGTGCATGTGTGTGCACACGTGTGTGCACATGTGAGTGCAGGCAGAGTTGGTGCCCGCAGACATTGGTGGCAGCTCACCTGGAGCTGGAATCACAAGCAGTTGCACTGGAATGCAAACTCAGATGCTCTGCAAGAGCTGAGTTTTCTCTCCAGCCCTGCCCTGCTCTTTCTGTTCTTATTTCCTCTTCATTACAGTTTTCTCTTTTCTATTTACTTATTTTTATTATATGTGCATTGATGTTTTGCCTGCATGTATATCTGTATGAGGGTGTTGAATCCCCTGGAACTGGAACTACAGACAGTTGCGAGCTGCCATGTGGGTGCTGGGAATTGAACCCAGATCCTCCGGAAGAGCAGTCAGTGCTCTTACCCCTGAGCCATCTCCCCAGCCCCTCACTGCATTGTTCCTAGCTTTATTCTGCAGTATTTACAAAGTGTCCTTTGGTATCCATATTGGTCAGGTTGGAAGTCTGGAGAGTAGGATTTATCTAAAATCTACTTCCATCCATCCACTTGGCTCTTATATTCAGGAAGTGAGGTCTGCGGAGCAGGGGTGATGATTGTCCCTGTGCTATCTTTGGTCTAGTCTGGCTGGGCTCTCCTGGGCAGTGCCATCTGCAAACAGGTCAGGGTTGTTGGCTGCAGACAGCTGGAGATCCTGCAGGAATCTTCCAACATCCACTCAAATTTTTCGTTCCTCGCAGGCTTCTTAGGAGCTCCCTGGGAACAAATCTTAGAGTTGTCCCTTCTTGAACGCTGAGTCAGACCCCCTCACTCTGGTTTCCGGTTACTGGGTTTGCACAGTTTGTCCCCATTGAAATTTGCCATGTTAGATTCAGTTCAGCGTTCCAGCTTGGCGATCCTTCAGGAAGCTCTGCTCCCTGCCTTGGCTTGGAATTTTTGCAGCCTCAGCAAGCTTGTTAAACCGTTTTTTCTTTCTTTTTTCTCTTTCTTTCAAAATACAAAGTTGCTAATGACCTGGGGTCTGTCTTGGAGCCTGTCCATACCCCTCTCACCTTTGGCTTCCCCTTCTCCCCGCATGGATGGACCATGATATGCTGAGAGGCCTCCCCTGGGAAGCTGCCATATACTGCACATGGTCAACACAACACTAGCAATGCTGGCCGTGTGACCACTTGGATCCTGAAGTAGTTGCTTTTAAATCTGTGGTCTGCCAGCCTGTGTTCGCATCCCGTGGATGGCAGTCGTTCCTGGATTCGCCTGTTCTTCTCCGCTCAGTTTGCCCACTGCCTCCATGTTTCGGTTTTGGTAGTGTTGTTTTTTGAAACAGGGTCTCTCTTTGAAGCCTTGGCTGACCTCTGGTACTCA